TTGTCTCCCAATAAGTCAGAAATTTGAGCAGAAGTAGAACCTTTCTCAGTCTCCTCCTCTGTGTTCACTGAAGATGTTTGGAAATCACCCCTATCTCCATATGCTTCTAGGACTCTGGTCTCTCCTGGCAAGCCCTGGTCATCTGTGGGAACTTTAGGAAGAAGGTGCCCTTTTGCTGGCCCTGGGATTTGCTCTACTAAACAGATAGATTCACCACAGAGTGGCAACTCAGATTCTCCTACCACATGCCCTTCATCTACCCCTGCTTCATTTTTCATGGGAACAGCAAACTCACTTTGATTCTTAAGACAGCGATCTTCCTGACTATTCACTGTTTCTATGGCTGCTGTAAAAGGCAGGGCAATTCCTTCTGTGCTGGCAGATGGCACAACAGCAGAGGGAGTCTTGGGTCTTTCTGGCCCTGGGACCCCATCTTTGTTGCAGTTATTTTCCACTAATAATTTAGAAAGCTGAGCTGGGGCTCTCTCTTCCCCATTTTTTGCCAAGGTGTCTGGTAAGGAATCATTTTTCTTTACTACTTGAGGAGGAGTAGTGGGCATTTTTTCACAGGCTGCTGATTCTACAGCCTCTATAGGAGCTGACTTATTCATGAGCCCTGACAGTGTTCTGGGACAGGTAAATGTAATATTTCTATTTTCGTCCACATAGCCCATTCCTTCAATTCTGTGGTCCCCTGTGGTTTCCATGGGAACATGTATTTTTGTTGCATCTAACTTATTCTCCAGAATGTGCTTCTTGGGAAAACTATTTTTAACTTTTTTGCTTTTTTCATCACTACTCCTTTTATTTGGTTTGTCAGCCACTGCTGTGTGTCCCTTGGTTGCATCTGTCTTGTTCTCTTCAGATGCTATTGAGGGAGCAAATCCTGTCTCCTGAATTTGGTCTTGGCAGCTCACATCTGTCACCTTGGCAGCTGGTTCAATAATAGCAGAATCCTTGGCTGTATTTGTTTTGTTGCCCTTAGGGGCCTCAAGCTCAGCAGAATTAACCTCAACATTTTTACCTTTTTTGTCAAGTGCTTCCACTGTGTGTGTACCTGATACATGAAAGAATAAAGAATCAAGTATTTGGGGGGAAGTGTGTCCTAATTCCCTGTTTTTATAGGGAATGTTATCAGATAGTTCTCCATCCTTCCCTACAAAAGGTGGATTAGGAATTTCCTCCTTATCATCCATTCTAGTAGGTTCTATGGGATAATTAATTTTAGACTTTTTGTTTCTGCCTTCATTACTTCTCTTTTTAGTCGTTTCAGAAAACCAAGGAGTTGACTCATGACCCATCCAAGGACAACTTCCTTCCTTGCTCTGGTTACTGACACGTGTATTTTTTACTAAGGCTCCTCTTTCTGACCTAACATCAGAAGTCCGAGTCAAGGTTGATCTATTTTCCAAAGGAATCCATGCCTGTAAAGTGCTTTCCACACTAGGATCTATTATCTCCTTAGGCTCCCCCATCACTACTGCCTCAGTGAAATCAATCATGGTTCCTGGTTGCTTTGAAGAATCTAATCCCAGCTCATCTCTCTTATCCTCAGTAGTCACTCTTTCGGTTTTAAGAATTGGTTCACTTAACCCAAGAACAGCCCTTCCATCATTCTCACTGTCCAGAACATATAGCAGGTCAGATTTAATTCTTGGCTTCCCAGAATTCATTCTCACTTTCCCAGAACTTCCCCTTCCCTTCCTGTTTTTGCCATCACCTGTCATTCTCTTAAACGGCTCATTCCCTAGCCCAGGAGCCTGAACTGACACTTGGCCTTGCAGCTGCTCAGAAGCCAAGATGTTGATTTCCTCTCTTTGCTTGGGAAATGCTTCCCTTTCTAGTTCTTTAACTTCTACAGATCCTTTAAGAAACACTTTCTGGTTGACATTCTGTAGTTTAGACATTTTACTTTCATCATTCTCTTCTTTGAGACTATCTTCTAATGGATTACTTGCTATCAAAGTTGGTATCAAATTAGGCAATTCTTTTGCTGCTATAGGTTTTGAAACTCCACCCACAACCTCTTGGTTCAAGATAGGAGAGCGAGCCTCTTTGGATCTGATCTCCAAAAGAGTTTCAGCTTTATGTTCAGAAATTTCTGTCAGGGATCCTGTCAAGTTAGGAAGGCCCACTATCTGGCCTTTATCCACAGGGGTCTTCAGGAGGGGTGCAGGTTGTGATTTGTATTCATCCAGCTGCAACAATTTCTTATCTTGGTTATGTGGCACTGATTTGTTTCCTCTGCCACGTTCCTCTACTCTCAGCTTGGACTGAGAATTTTCTGCAGTTTTTGGAGATTCTTCTGGACACAAAGTAACTCTGAGATTCTCTGAGATAAAGTTCTCACCTTCTAGTTTGGCTGCTCTAGAGTCACCTCCATCTCCTTTTTTCAATTTCTCTCTGGATACAAGTCCACATTCCATGTTCACAGCAGTGGACTGACTAGGGAGGACACCTGATTTATGGGTATAACTGTTATGCCCTTCTGCACTGTCATCATTCCAAGATCCCCCAGCCCGGGGTTGAGAATATCTCTTTTGCTTTGGTTTCTTCTTCTTTTTCTTCATCGCCATTGGCATGCTTTCTATATCCCAGGCCTCCCTGCCGAGATCCCTCTGGGCTTCAAGGAAGTCAGCATGAATACTTTTCCTTTGGTTCCCAGGATAACCACAGGAAGGTGAACCAGAGACCCAACCCGACTCACACAAAGGGAAAGGGCCTAGCCTGGGATCAAGAGTCTTCTGTGGAGTCAAGACTTTCAGCAGCTCAGGAGGGGCCCTGGTAGGCTTGGGCTGGGCTGACCTGCAGTCACTGGATCTGCAACCTTGTGTGCCTTGTGTGAGAGGGGCACCTGCAATACATGAAGTTGGCTAAAATTCTAAATAACAAGCTTCTTGTTATTCTTTCTTAAAAAAAAAAAAACAATAGTTCATTTAGTGACTCATTTAAGCAGTCTGTTTCCACCAATCCATATACTAATTTCTTTAGGAAAACCATTTATTCCCAAACATTTCTTATTCTTAATTGGGATTATCATTTCAGGTAAGAATTTTTTTCAAACACATTTACAAAATATTTCAAACTTTTCTTTTTTGGTACCAGGGATTGAACTCAGGGACACTCGACCACTGAGCCACATCCCCAGCCCTATTTTATATTTTATTTAGAGACACGGTCTCACTGAGTTGCTAAGCGCTTCACCTTTGCTGAGGCTGGCTTTGAACTCGCGATCCTCCTAACTCAGCCTCCCCCGCCACTAGAATTATAGGTGTGCATCACTGCGCCCAGCAAAATATTTCAAACTTTCTAACCTCTGTAATAAACTCACTCACTACTTATAAATCTCATCTGATTTATTTCTCCTTGTAATTATTAATAGGTACACAAATCTCAATTCTAAACAAGAAATTGTACTTATTTCTTTTTTGGTGATGTTTATTAATTGAATGAATACTTATGATTTGGGACAGAATTTATAATTCTAAGAGTCTGTCACCAATATTATACTGATCTGTATCCAATGAACTAGACTGATTCTGGGAAACAGACCCAGAAGGCCAGATTTATGCTGTTTAAAATTTTAAAAAAAGACTAAATAGTATTTTGGCCAGAGAAAAATTCTTATCATTCCAGAACCAGAACATCCTACTTTAAAAGACAAATGTGTTAGATTTCAATGTTCTGTTCTTAAATGTATTTCCCAAAAGACAAAGAAATATGCATAATGATAGTAAGCTGACAAGAATTTCAACAGTTAGGACAAGCACCCTTGGAAAAGTTTCATGAAGTAACACAATTTGGATCCAAATTCCTGGAAAGAAAATCACTAAAGGCAGTCTTCAATGATTCCTGTCAAGTATGACCCAATAAAATGATTTCAAAATACTTAACTAGCACCTTTTGTTTTTGTCCTCATCCCTCCAATGTCCTCTAAATCCTTAATATCTCAGGTTAATTTTAGGTTTTGTCAAAAAATTGTGAGCCATAGCACCTCACAGTATTTATTACACTTAATTTAGGAATTAATCAGCAGCAACTTGATGCCATCACTTACACTATTTTCTTCAATTATTATGTAAGTCTTTTAGAGTTCATGCCTGGGAACTTCTCTTTCTATTCAGGTAACAATATAATAATAACTCTAGGTGCTTCAATTATTTGGAAAACAGGAAGATCAGCGAGAACAAGGATGGATATCTATGTGCCTTAGGATGGTCTATCTTGTATACAATTAGCACTTACTAAAATCTTTACTGACATTCTCAGTCAGTAAAATAACATTTAAAATTCATTTATTTAGCTCCTACTTGCTGCTAGACAGTGTGTAAACTCTAGGGACTCTAAATGAATTAAGTCCGAGCACTGCCCTCAAGGAGCTCACATTCCCATCATAGCAACAGAAAAGTATACAGAGAATCATCAAGTTGACAATCATATGCACGTGTTCCTGGCTTATCAACAAAAACATGTAATCTTAGAAATCACTGACTGAGCAAACTTAAAAGTTTTACAGTATCTTAGAGCAGTATCCCTCAAAGTTTAATACATGTGAAAATTACTTGGGGTTGCTGTTAAAATTCAGATTATAATTCTATAGGTCTGAGAAAGAGTCCAAGATTCCACATTTCTAAGATGTTCAGTCACAGTGCAAATGCTGTTGAGCCATGGAACACACTGTAACTAGCAAGACTTTATAGAACTTAATAGTTGAACAAACAGATATAGGCAAATAACATACCTAAGACTACTAAGGAGAGTCAACAGATGAAATAGACCAAAATTTAGTGTCCTGAGTTGATATAGTGGTGATTTTAAATATTTAACAAGTTGACCTTCTGCCTAAACAAAATGAAATCCATTGAAGAAAGGAAACTGACCTCATAAACTATACTGCTAATAACAACACAACCAGGAAAGCAGGGACAATGTCTACCAACATCACTTCAATCACTCCTAGTTTAAGCTGTTTGAGAGTCCATTTGGTTTTCTTCACTTACCTGAGGTCTCTGAAGAAAGTTCAGAAGGCTGACTGCTGATTGGTTTCTTCTGTTCTAATTTCTCTAACACAGAATCTGGCAAGTTGTCCTTTTGGCCCGTGGCTGTGACTGGTTCTAAAGGTAATAGTACAGATCACATGTGGGTAAGAGAGTAACTATTTCAGATATTTTTCCACCCATGAGAAATTAAAGGTGGCAATCATTTTTGAGGAATTCTCCTATAATAGGCAGCAGAGATGAAGAGCAGGTTAAGAAGTAGTCAGGAGAGTTTCTGTTTCTATCTTTCAAGATGGGAAAAATGACAAACTCTTTTAAGTTGGGAATAATTCAGTGAAATGGCAGAAAACAAACTAATGGCTGGGGCAATATACTTGACTTGAAAAGGAGAAATGGGACCTATTACAAAATGAGAGGAGAGGTTGGCCTTAATTAGGAGCAGGAATAGTTATAAAAATAGGAGAGGGGGTTGTCGTTGTGGCTCAGTGGTAGAGTACTTGCCTCTCATGTGCAAGGCCCTGGGTTCGCTCTTCAGCGCCACATAAAAATAAATAAAATAAAGGTATTGTATCCACCTACAACTAAAAAATAAATATTAAAAAAAAAACAGGGACTGGAATTGTGGCTCAGTGGTAGAGCATTTGCCTGGCATGAGTGAGGCACTGGGTTCGATTCTCAGCACTACATATAAATAAAGGTCCATGAACAACTTAAATATATGTATATATATATGAAATTAAAAAAAAACAGGAGAGAAGTCAGAGTCTATGGATACAGATACAAACTGTGTAGATGAGCTAACAGACGATTGTGGGTGTTTTATTTCATTGCAATTATCTGGAAAATAGGAAGATCAGCAGATTGATAAGGTATTGGAGGTTGGAGGAGGGTAAAGGTAAGAAAGAGCTGTCTAGGAGAGTAGGAATATGAATAGATTTGCAAAGCACAGTGAGACTATTTATTTTAACTGGCATGATGCCTGTCCCTTAGTCTTCTGGAAGGTAATAGTAAAGATCACATGTGGGTAAGAAAGTATTTTTCTGTGGATGATATAGTGTCCACTTGAAACTATACCCTGGTAAACAGAAATACTGAGAGGAAACAAAGCTCATACCTGGTGAAATCATGAAAGTAGGTGCAGCTAACTGCCCCTCTTTTTGGAGAGACTGTATCTGGGAATTTTCACTTATTCCTTCCTGAGTCTGGGCAATTTCCATGTCTTTAACTAGAACTGATGCCACCTCTGTTCCTGAGGGTGGTGCAACATCCTTGGCTGGAGTCACACTGTTGGCCAGGGTCATCTCTGTTCCAGGGGACAGAGCCACATCCTTAGCCAGGGCCACATCTGCTTCTGGAGGCAGCAGCATATCCTTGATCAAGGTTACTTCTTTTTCTGGGAGTGGAGTTATATCCTTGACCTGAGCCACCTCTACTTCTGGAGACACAGCCACATCCTTACCCAGGGCCGACTTTGTTTCAGAGGGTGTACCCATATTCTTGACCAGGGTTACTTCTGTTTCTGGGAGTGGAGCCACATCCTTGACAAGGCCCACCTTTGATTCTGGGGACAGAGCCACTTCCTTACCCATGGTCACTTCTGTTACTGGAGGTGGAGTAATGTCCTTGTCTGAGGGCCCTTCTGTTTCTACTGCATCCTTCGTGAAGACTACTGTTGCTTCTGAAGGCAGTGTCATGTCCCTTGGCACAGCCACCTCTTTTTCTGATAACAAGACCATCTCCTCAGCTGAGGATTTTTCTGTGGATGATATAGTGTCCACAGCTAGTGCCACCTCCATTTCTGAAAATGATACCATACCCTTGCCTGAGATTGACTCTGTTTCTTTGGGTGATGCCATGCCCTCATGTGAAAACAAATCCATTTTTACAGGTGGTACTCTCTCTGTTTCTTCAAATAGTGTCACATCCTTGCCTGCAGCCACCTCAATTTCTGTGGGCAGCACCATATCTTTAGTCAAAGACACATCTGTTTTTGCGGGTGATATGACATCCTTAACTGGGACCACTTCTTTTTCTATAGGTAGGACCATGTCCTTGACCAGAGACATATCTGATTCAATGGATGACTGCAAGTCCTTGGGCAGTGTCACATCTGATTTGGTGGGTTGTTCCATATCTTTAGTCAATTCCACCTTTGTTTCTGTGGCGGGTGCCATTTCCTTGACCAGGGCTACCACTTTTTCTCCAGACGGTGCCATTTCTGTAGTCTTCTGTCCTATTATTATTTCCAATGCTTTAGTTGGTGGCTGTTCTTCTACTGATGCCATTTCTCCTTCCTTGGGTAACTCTAAGGGAAATAAGTTAAAAATTTGGGACCTATCATTTTCTACTCATACCTCTGCACTTAAAACTCATAGGGCACAAGAGTATTTGGCTATTGTGACCTTAAGACCTTAAACATAATTAAGAAGGTGTTGAGGGGCTGGAGTTGTGGCTCAGAGGTACAGCACTTGCCTAGCATGTGTGAGGCCCTGGGTTTCATCCTCAACACCACATAAAATAAAATAAAGATATTTTGTTCGTGTATTACTAAAAAATAAATATTAAAAAAAAAGAAGCTGTTGATTTAGTGCATGCTGCCTACTCCTTGACAATCCCATCATTTAGAAGGATAAGACATGTGAAACTGAGAAGACAAATTGTGGAGGAGAAAAGGAAAACTATAGGCTTGAAAACACAGGTATGTATTAGTATTAGGAAGGGAACCTATGGAACTGCTGGTCAGTTATCTTTCCTATTAAGAAAAGAAGCCCAGAACTCTAGGCTTAGTGGTTAAGTGAACCTGGGTTCAATTCCCAGAACCAAAGAGAAGGGATTTCCTCTTAAGATTGTATTTTAATTATAATTTAACTCTCCCAGCTCTGATATCTTTAATACAAGCTTAAAAACATTTGTGATAATTCTGAAAATTTTATGTGTCTCTTGTAAGCTGCTAAAAATATGCCCAATGATTTATACCAATTATCAATATTTCAATTACTAACTGATAAAGCAGATTTTAAATAATTCACCTGTCATCTGTGGAAGATTTGCAGTGGCCTCTAGAGAAACAAAGGACTCCGAGTATGGAGGGTTTGGGGCTTCCATAGACCACCCCTGAGGTACAACAGTTGCAGGAGCAAATGTGTCGCAGGGAGGCATACCTAATATCAAAACATAAAACACATTTTGAAATTTGGTTGACAAAGAAGGAAAAAAAGGCATTTGGTATTTTAAATCAACTGTATATATTGCCAAGAAGACATAGGTCTAAGGAACAGTAAAAAACAAAGTACAAAAGTTTTAAATGAAACACTCCTAACAATCTTCAGGTTTTGCGTAATTATTAACAGGCAGCATCACTATATCCCAGGAAGACCATGAATCAATATATATTGCCTACTTTTACAGGATATTACAAGATTCAAAATATCAAAGATTGAGCTCTAGTAACACCACAATCAAAATAATAGTGTACAGTAAAGAAAGGTGAGCCTTAATTCATCAGTAAAATGAGATTAACACCTGCCTATATGAAAATATTTTGTTAATTATTAACAACTAGCTGGATGCAGTGGTACTTATCTATAATCTCAGTGACTCAGGAGATTGAGGCAGGAGGATTGCAAACACCAGGCCAACTTCAACAATTTAGCAAGACTGTCTCAAAATAAAAGGAGCTGGGGATGTAGCTTAGAGGTAAAGCATCCCTGGGTTTGGTCTCCAGGACAACCCTCAGAAACAAACAAACACACACACACACACACACACACACACACAAACTAGGCAAATGACAAATATAAGTGGATTATTGTAATGCTTATCCTATGCCAGTCTCAACAGATTTAATATCAGTCCCTGCTGAGATCATTATATATTTTTGTGTTTGTTTATTTTCAGGAGGTAGGGTCTCGCTATGTTGCTCAGACTGGCCTCAAATTCTTGGCCTCCTGTCTTAGCTTCCTGAGTAGCCAGGATTATAGGCATATGCCACAACATCTGAGAAGATTAATACAATTTAGCTACAGAGACAAGTAGACAAATAGCAAACAACGCATACTGTACATTATGAACTAAGTGATATAGGAGTGCAGAAAGAACCATGAGGCCCAGACTATCACAAAAGGCTTCAGAAGAGAAGCAAGAGCAGAAATAGAGGGTGGTCAATTTCAAAGACAGAGGACACTCTGAGCAAAGAAAGCATAAAGATGCAAACAGGAGGAGATGAGGATATTACTATTTATGATAACTAAGATTATTTAATGATTACTCTACCAGACACAATGCTAAGTGTTTCACATAATTTTATTTAATGGTCATCACTTCTCTAATGTAAAAACTAGTGCTGGCTCTGTTTTGTAGATTTAAAAAAAAAGAGTTTAGGGAGGAAGTAATTTGCTCAAGGTCATGGGTCATGAATGAATAAAATGTGGATGCAGAATTTGGCCCTAAGTTAGAGGTCTTATGAGAGGATGTCCATAGTCTTTGAACAGCTTGACTGTGAATTCTCCTCTTTAATCTGGAATAAGCCTGGTCACAGTCAGAGGCCCTACATCTGATTCTGCCTATTAGTTAACATGAAAGATGATGGGTGAAAGCTCATATTAATTGAAGCTAAGGGACTATAGGAGACCAGAATATGCACCCAAATAGGCATAAGATTACATTGAATGCAAGTCAACTGAGAAGTAGATATGAAAAACAAAACAAAACAAATAGGGGCTGGGGATGTGGCTCAAGCAGTAGCGCGCTCGCCTGGCATGCGTGCGGCCTGGGTTCGATCCTCAGCACCACATACAAACAAAGATGTTTTGTCCGCCGAAAACTAAATATTAAAAAATTCTGTCTCTCTCTCTCTCTCTTAAAAAAAAAAAAAAAAACAAATAGCAACAACACAAAACCCAATCAATTCTTAGCTTTCCTCCTATTTACCTAAAAGCAGGACAAATACTTTCAAAAGTGTTCCTCCACCCTCTGCATCTTAAAGTACAAAGGTTGATTACTGAAGACAACTGTATGCTCTTATCAGCCTGGAGATGTCACCACAGGAATCTACATAACAAGTTTTACTCACTAGCCTTTACCACCTACTTGCACCCTCACAGTTTGCCACTAAAGACCCTGAAAAGTCCTTTTCCTTTATCTTTCTAATTCTCAAAAAAAGTATGACTTTTTATCAAAGAAGCTATATAACTGAGTTCTAAAGCCACTTCTTTGAGATTAGTCATTCCCCAAATACCTTCCTTGTGTATATGAAATATACATGTTAATCTTCACTTTCTTTTTCTCTTTTGCTATATGTGCCCTAAGCAATAAATCTAAGAAGGAAAATTAATTTTTCTTCCCTACAGAATAATTCCAGCTAGAGAAGCCATACCGTAACTGTCTTCCAAAGGATTATTATGCCCTGTAAATGTCAAATCATTTGTTGTTCCACTGGAGAGAAAGAGCAAATCTGCTAGTCCGTCATCATGGTGCATCTTAAAGGGATCTAGAATAAAGAAGTAATCCAAAACTCAGTCCCAGTGAATGCAATTAGAAAGGTAAAAACATTTCTTATGACAAATATTGATTAGTTACATGTGTGTTGTCCAGTAGTAAAATAAGTTGAGATAACATGTGACTACACATGTAGGCAATCAATAAATACTCACTAATTCATTTGTTTCAAGTTAATAATATATAATCCCTTATTCCCGTAAGGTTTGATTATCTAAATCACAGAGCCAACAAATGTATAAAACTGAGAGAACACTTAATGCTCAACTCTAACATTCTAAGAGGCAAAAATAAAGAAAATGGAATTTTCAATATATAATTTAGAGATTTTGTTATTAAATAAATCAGCTAGAATGTTTTCAGAACAAGTTTAAAAAGGGAAATTTTCACCTCATGTGGACATTGTGAAGAAAACTGCATTTCAAAAGCTCTCTGAATGGAGTTTGTCCTGAGAGAATGAATAAACTCTAGATTCAGGAGTTGGCATGAGTGAAGATACTCAAAAACATCAGTAAACTCTTTGTGCTTTCTTACATGAAAAACATAAAAAAGCAAAGCTGGTCAGGCAAATAATGAATTATGATTTCTAAGGAGGCCTTCTCAAATTCTGTTTCCATGTTAAGGATTTGACCCAGGTCTTGAGAGCCTGCATGTCTAACTATTTCCTCTGATGAAGCTAATGCATGACTCCCTAACACACTGTCAACATCAGAGGCAAGTATGTAAAAACCCAGGTCTTGGGAAAATGTTCATTTCCTTGGCTCTGAGACAGCTAGACCACCCCTCTTTTTATAAAGGGTTTCAGGATTAGAGGAGACAGATACTGCATTGCAAAGTGTATTTTGAATAATTAGAAGGCATAATTGAGAAAGCTGGGGTCAGGGGTGGAAGAAGCCTTGAGGCTGCCTTTCAAATAAACAGGGAAGGATGTAAAGGCAATCTGGCTGTAACATCTGTTATGCAAGGTCAGAGACAGGATCATTTAGCAAAAGGATATATTTTTGTTCAAGTCAAGCTTGAAAAATACTTAAACTAAATTTGAGAACTGAGTGGTTGGAGAAGGGCACACCTTTTCTCTATATTCCCTCTCATCCAATCTCACAGTCTAAAATTTCATTAATAAGCAGATGACACTCAAATTTTTATCACTAGCCCTCTAGAGCTATCCCCTTATTTCCAGCCTTTAAAATAAAATGGCCTCTATGTATATGTGCCCATGTGTGTGCAAGCACATGCTAAGAATGGATGGAAACCCAGGGCCTCATGTGTGCAAAGCACATAATCTACAACTGAGGTAGAGTGGTAAAGTATTCAAAGTATTTAATATATTCCAGCACCCCACCTCTTAATTTAATAAATCCCAAATGCAACATGTTTCTCAAACCTATTCTCCATAAGACAGGACAGAAATTAAAGAGATAGGAATGAGACAAAAGGAAGAACAGGGAAAAGACAACTTTATGTGAAAACCTTGTGCTAAAGTTCCTCAGACCTTCATTCCCCAAGCAGTTCTCTCATTCCAGGCCTATCACTCCAAGATTTCTGAGAATTCTATAAATGTTCACTCACAATTACTAGAAATTCAACCACTTGTGAAAACTGCCCCATGTTCACTAATTAGCCCACTAATACATGTATTTTTTAGAATATATTGCACAAAGGAAGATACAAAACAGTATACAGTACTTTCCCAACCCTACCTTTTGATCAGATAATGAAAAAGATATCAACCTAAGAATCCTGAATTTGCCAGATCACCATGACCATCTTGAGCTCACCAGATTGATGTTATCCTCACATATAGATGACACTTATGCCCACCCCTTACCCAGTTTCCTTTAAAAGAATGTGAGATTCCCCAAGTGTCTCTCATTAGTGAGGTGGCCCATGTTCTCCCTTGAATGTGTACTCTCCTTACTTTTCTAAATAAATCTCGGTGCCTCAATATCTGATGGATTGAGAAATTCTTTTCTATGCCATTTGTCCATGTCCAACTTTGGACCATGTTGACCTAAGTTGAAGTCCCCTTCTCTGGGACCCTCTTGGACCCCACATTCTGGTATAACACAAAATCTTACCATATGAAATGGCATTCTATCCTTCTCTTGTTGGTAAACAGTTTTGACCTTATCCTTGAAGTTATCCTTGACCTCTGAATTTCACACATTTGATTCATTAGAAAACTGGCAGAATTGACTTTGAAACTGTCCCCCAGAATCTATTTCTTCTGGGTCTCCACTGACTAGGAAGTCTCAATAAGTTTGCAGTCAAGGCACTGGCCATGGCTGTGCTCATCTGAAGAGTTGCCTGGCAAGATCTGCCTGCCATCAAGATGGCTTATTTACACGGCCATGGGCTGAAAGTATCAGTTCCTCTTCCATGTATACTTCTCCTTATCAAATGGCTTTCCCCATGGTGAATAAATTTAGGAGTGACAAAAATGGAAACTGCAATGTCTTCTGTGATCTATCAATCACACACACCAAGCCTAGTTTAATGTGGAGACAGCTATATAAGGTTGTGAATACCAGGAGGCAGGGACCATTGGGAGCCATCTTGATGGCTGGGCGCCACACTTGAATTTCAGGAAATTAAATTCTACTGTGTTATCTCCCACTTAGAACTGGGAATCACCCTTGCTGGCTCCTATTCTTCCTGGCTGGAATTAGTAATTAAAAAGTACTCACAAAGACGGCCTGGCCAAAATGGTTTTACCAATGACTTCTATCATAAATTCAAAGAACTAAAACCAATTATTCACAATATCTTCCAAAAAATATAAGAGGAGAAAGCACTTTCCGACTCATTCTGAGAACAGTATTACCTACACAAAACTAGACAAAGACATCACAAGAAAACTACACACTATGTCTTTGAATATGGCTTCAAAAATCCTCAAGGGTTTATATATGGAACCCATTTTTAAAAATTCTACAACATGACCAAGAGGTATATATCTCAGAAGTACAATAATGGTTTAATATCCAAAAATCAAAATGTATCATCAGAATAAAAAATAAAAACATGATCACCTTACCAGATGCAGAAAATCTATTTGACAAAATCAATACCCTCTCATGATAAAACACTCAATAAAGTTGGGTATGGTGGTACACACCTATAATCCCAGCAACTTGGAAAGCTAAGACAGGAAGATTGCAAGTTTGAGGCCAACCTCAGCAACTCAGCAAGGCCCTCAGCAACTTAGCAAGATCCTGTCTCAAAATAAAAATAAAAATATTTAAAACACAAAAGGGGACCGCGCCCAGTGGTGCATGCCTGTAGAACCAGTGGCTTGAGAGACTGAGACAGGAGGATTACAAGTTCAAACCTAGCCTCAGCAACATTGAGGCGCTAGGCAACTCAGACCCTGTCTCTAGATAAAATATAAAATAGGGCTCAGTGGTCAAGTGTTCCTGAGTTCAGCCCCCACCCCCCCAAAAAAAAAACAATAATAGGGAAGGAAAGAAGGAAATTTTCTTAACCTGATCAAGGGTACCTACAAAACACACACAGATTGGAGACTGGATGCTATGTCTCTATACTGTGGCTCTTCCTACAAACACATATCCATGATAATTTATAAATTAGGCACAATAGAGACTGACAATAATAAGTTATGGGATGGAACAATCATAATAATATAGTATAATAAAAATGTTAAAATGTGTGAATTACTTATTTTTGAAATGTTCCATTTGATATTTTCAGACTGCAGTTGACTGCAGGTAGCTAAAACTGTGGGTAAGCAGGGGCTACTCTAGTTCTGTAAATGACATGGTTTTGCCTTTAAAAAAATGCTAAGGAATTCCTGAAAAACTATTAGACCTGATAAATGAGTTCAGCAAGATTGAAAGATATAAGAACAACAAACAAAAAATCAATTATATTTCTACACCCTTGCAATGAAGAATCTGAAAATGAAATTAAGGAAACAAATCCACTCACAGCATCGGACAGAATGAAATACCAAGAATAAATTTAACCAATCTCATACACTCAAAACTACAAAATACTGTAATGTAAATGAAAAATAAACAAATGGAAAAACTTTAAATGCTCGTGAATAGAAGACTTAATATTGTCAAGAGGGCAATACTCCCTAATTAATCCACAGATTCAGCACATTTTCTCTTAGAATTCCAGCCAATTTCTTTGTAGAAATTGACAATATGATTCTATGGAATTACAAAGGGCTGAGTGTATCAAACAATCATGGGAAAAGAACAAAGGAAACTCACAATTGCAAAACTTACCAAAAAGCGGCAGTAAAGTGCACTCACAACTTTCAAGGGGGATTGGTGCCAGGACATGTGGCCCCATACCAAAATCCGTGGATGCTCAAGTCCCTCATATAAAATGGCACAGAAGTTTCATATAGCCTATACACATCCTTTTGCAAATTTTCAATCATCTCTACATTACTCATAATACCTTCTAAATGTAAATGCTATGTAAATAATCATTATAATGAGTTGCTTAGAGAATAATGATAACTTGAAAATGTCTGACATGTTCAGTATAGATGTAATTTTTTTCTCTCTGAATATTATCATCAATTGTTGGTTGAATCCTTGGATATAGAACCTGTGGGTATGCAGGGCAAACTATACTGACACAAAAATCATGAAATAGAACTCAACGTTGAGAAACAAAACCAAATACCTACAATTAACAGATTTTCAACAAAGGTGCAAAAACCATTCAATGGAGAAAGACCAGTCTTTTCAAAAATGGAAGCGGGACAATGGATATCCACATGAAAAAGAATGAATCTCCTACCTCTGATCATATACAAAAATCTACATAAAAGGGATCAAAGACTTAAACATAACAACACAAACTAACATTTTAAGAACAAAACACAGTGATAAACCTTCATAAACCTAGTTTTGAAAATAGACTGATGACATAAAAAACACAAGTAACACAAAGAAAAATGAATAAACTGGGTTTCATAAAAATAAAAAAAGTTATGCATCAAAGGATATTACCCAGAAAGTTAGAAGACCACCCACATAATGGGAGATACAATTTCATACCCACTAGGTTAGCTATAATTTTTTATAAAGGGAAATAAGTGTTGGTTAGAATGTGGAAGAATTACAAACCTCACACATTACTGGTGTAAAATGTGGCAGTCACTTTGGAAAACAGTCTGGCAAATAACCTAAGCTCTCAATCAGGCTGAAATCAAGGTAGCAATGTTACTCCTGCAAAGCCCTTTTACAATTCATGTCTCCTACCACTTCTAGTTTTGGGCAACTACAGATCTGCTTTTCCATATTTTTTCTTATTTGAATTTTATAGAAATTAGTATTAATCATTTTGCTCTTCATCAAACAAGGATAATAATATGTATTTGACAGAGTGAGGTAAGAAACCCAGATAATATGTATAAAGGCTCCAGCACGGTGCCTGGCACAAAACAGGCACTATTATTACTGTAATAATTCCTTCTAGAAGAATTAAAAGTTTCTAAGACACTGCTGATCCTTTAGTTTCTAATGTATATGCATTTCAGATATTTATTCAAAACAGGTTCTGAAAAGGAGAGAATTGTAGGGCATTAAGTATCTCTGAAGAAAAGACAAACAGTACATAAAGGGTCAACTGATGTTTAGGGGAAATTATTCTAGTTGAATTCTAGTTGAATACAAATACAAAGAAATTATATGTAGGCTATAATGTTTTATTTGAGTGGTGGTTGCCACTTTGTTCTTGTATTTATCATAGCTCACATTTAGCAGTCACATATGAGCTCCTGCTTACCAGTCTGGATAGGATTCACCACTTGCTCAGGCTGGAAGCAAAAGTTTGTATTTTCTGGCCAGTTCTGGCTGTTCTGATATTCCTGGTAGGCCATTTTCTCTTCGAGGAATTCAGTTGGAGACCCTTAACATACAGACACAAAGCAAATTACGAGAGAAGAGTTTCTGTAAATTACTATAGGAAGTACAATACGACACAATCACATTTGGCTAACGTCTTTGAGAAAATATTTTTAAATTTAAAAATAGAAAGAAAGCCAGGCATGGTGACACACACCTGTAATCACAGCTACTTAGAAGGTTCAGGCAGGAGGATCCCAAGTCCCCTTTCTCAAAATAAAAAATAAAAGGGTTGGGGATGTAGTTCAGTGAACAGCCCTGGGTTCAATCCCTAACACAGCCAAAATAAATAAATTAATTAATTGAGTAAGTAAGTATTGGAAGCCTAAGATTGTTTTCTGTGGGAAGGAGGAGTGTTTTTGGGGATTGAACTCGGGGTCACTTAACCACTGAGCCACCTCCCCAGCCCTTTTTTGTATTTTATTTAGAGACAGGGTCTCACTGAGTTGCTTAACACCTTGCTTTTGCTGAGGCTGGCTTTGAACTCGTGATCCTCCTGGCTCAGCCTCTCAAACCACTGGGACTACAGGCACGAGCCACAATGCCTGGCTTACAAGTGTCTTTTTTAAAGATGGAAACTGATCATCATACTCTATCGATAAACATTTACAATGAATTTAGAGACATTCTTAATAAATAACCAAAGTACAAAATAAGTATGCCTTTTCTTAAGATACAACTTAAGATCAGGGAGAAAAGAAAAATGAAGGAATATATTTCTGATATATTGTCTATCAACTGAAATGGCTAAGGAGACTTAAAGATCATGCAGTGTGGTCCTGCATATTTATGTCTAAGAACCTCCAGAAAGTTTAAATGCATCATCTCCATTCCATCAAAGTCCCCCTTTACCCACTGCCTCCTTTTGTTCTCTCTTCAAGTGTTATGTCTTTTTTTGTCCCTCCTTCAGCAGCAAGAGAGCAAACTTCAAATAGCATTTCAATCTAAGTTCCACAGGTTAACTGTGTGCTTTAATTTTCTATAATACTAATGTAATTACTATTTCAGCAAACATATAGGGCCAATTTTTTATAGGTCACATTTATTTTTAGAAAATGCAAAGAAGAAATCTCAAGGCTGACTGAAACAACAGAGTCAGGCACTGGGTAAAATTCTTAGGAGAAACAAGAATGAATCTACCCGTGATTAGGCAGCTCTAAGTTAACGGGCCCAAGAAATGTAAAACAATTCTTAAAAATGTGGATTAGGGCTTTGCATCCAAGTTTTCCTTAAATTTACATCCTTTTAATACTTTTTTACAAATACAATATCTTTACTTTGTTTATTCTTATGTGGTGCTGAGAACTGAACCCAGTGCCTCACACGTGCTAGGCAAGTGCTCTACCACTGAGCCACAACCTCAGACCCCTTTAATACTTAGTCTCTTTTCATATCTGTTGTTTTCTAATGAAGAACAAAATTGGGATTGTTCATGGGAAATTAAAAAAAATTTTTTTAATAGAAAAATAAGAAATATCAATAATAATTACCTAATTTTATTCTAAATGGTTGACAGGCTGCTTCTTTATGAACAATATTTATGCTGCTCATAGTTTATATGCTACTAACAAAGGAGAAATTAGTGACGACTTCTATTTCATACTCCCGCTACTTTCCTTATCTGCTTTAGAACACTGGAGTAGAAAGGACCCAAAGGAGTAAACCCATACCACATTTGTCCCAATAATTCATTTATGTATTTAAATATTTTGAATCAGGCACTGGTGAAAATGCAGCAAAAATGAAGAAAAACCCTGCTGTCATGGAGTTCAGATCACCACCATCACCACCATCATTATATTGTGCTTATACACTATGGAAGAAGCGGTATTTGTGTAGTTGAGGGTTTCAGACATGCCTGATGATGCAAGTCTCTGTAAACCTCAGTTTTCATATCTAATACCTGCTTTACCTACTTCATAAAGGTTGAAAGGGGATATGTTAAAGTACTCAGAAAATTGTGACAAACATGGTAAAATTATTGCTAATCCTACCATTAGTATGGATTATAGGGGATAAGCATCTACAATAGCAGGTACTAAGTGCTGCTACTGGGGTTTAAAGAATGGTCACATGATATGGTCATGGAATGATCTAGAAATACTTCCTGTAGATCAGAACATAGCTGAACCTGAAAAGACAATTAGAAGGCTATGTACATTGAGCTGAGAGTCTGTGGAAGACACACAGTAGGAAAGACATTGAGCATAGCAAATTATCTGTTTTTAAGGCCATGGGCATAAAAGGGAAAATAAGGAACATACCATTTTGGCTGGAACACACAATAGTTCTTCATAAAGGGCAGCTAGAGGATGACTAGTGCTTCACAGGCCAAACAGAGTGGAACCCAAGGTTTGTCTATCTGCATTCCCTAAAAGAGAACCAGCCCATCTCTCTCCAGGTGGTCTTAGTGTTGTGGATCATGGTATTTTGCATCCTTATCCAAAAGAATGTACTTGTGATACAAGCAGGCCCAAAGTCCTTTGCAGAAATTTGAAGCATAAAGATATATTTGGGCTGCCAGTGTCTATCTTTCCCACCGTTTTTTTCTTTTTTGACGGGGGAGGGGGCAGTAACTGGGGATTGACCCCAGGGTACTTTACCACTGGGCTTCATCCCCAACTCTTTTTGTTTTTTTATTTTGTCATGGGATCTTGCTAAGTTGCTTAGAGCATCACTAAGTTGCTGACACTGGTCTCAAACTTGTAATTCTCTGGAATCATTGGGATTTCAGGCATATGGGTGTACTGCTATACCCAACAGAACTACAGTTTTTAATGAGAAAAGTGAGTATATTTTCCTCAGACCTTCTGGAGAAGGAACATGCAGGTCTGGTATTCAGATGTCAAAGTCTGCAGATTTCTACTTTCCAGAGTGGTGCTGTAGCTTAGTGGCTCTCTCTAAGGGGCCACATTCAAAATAGCCAGCCTCCAGCTATCAGTACCATTAATGAACAGGTTTGACAGAGGCTCATTCCCATATCTTCATTCAATGATGATGACCTAGATTTCATTCTTAAAATTTCATTCTTAGCAAAGGCAGGCAAAGTAGTTTATGATAACGATAGCCTTCAGAATAAATGTGGGATTTTTTTTTTTTTAATACCACAATTGTACTCTGCTCAGAGTCTATTTCAAGGAAAGAATAAAAAATGTAATTCTAAACAAGAAGCAATTTACACAATACAATGGAAACAACCCTTACTTTCACCATCAGTCATCCTTAGATACATTGGTTTTCCTATGAAAGCAGAAGTGAGTGGGGTGGGGTGGCGCATGACTGTAATACCAGCTACTCAGGAGGCTGAGAAAGGAGGATCAAAAGTTTGAGACCAGTCCTGGGAATTCAGAGAGATCTTTTTTTCTCAAAATGGAAAACGAAAAAAGCAGGGCTGGGGATATAGTCAGTTGGTAGAGTGGCTTACCTTGCATACACAAGGCCCTGGGCTCAATCCCCAGCATGCATGAATGAATGAATGAATAAATAAATAAATAAATAAATAGGGGCTGGGGATGCAGCTCAGTGGTATACTGCCCATGTTCAATCATCATTACCATAAAAATGAACAAATGAATGAATGAATGAAAGTAACTTTGGAGTTGACATGGGCTAACTCCTATTTCCATTAAATTGAAGGCATTTACAGAAAGGCAAATGGATAAAAGTTTGAAATACTCATTAATCAAATAACATATCTATGAATCAAAGCCAGGACTAATTCCATCAGAAAACATTGGTTATCAAGTGCAATACAGACCAATGGATTTTAAAATAACATACTACAAAAAGTACACTGAGGCTTGATGCAGTGGCCCACATTTATAATCCCAGCAACTCAGGAAGCTAAGGTAAGTGGATCACAAGAGCAATGCCAGCCTCAGCAATTTAGCAAGATCCTAAGCAATATTCAGTGAGGACCTGTCTCAAAATTAAAAAGGGTTGGGGATGTAGCCTACTGGTAAAGTGTCCCTGGATTCAATCCCCAGTACATTCTCCCCTTTCATAGATCAAAAAAAAAGTTCACTGATAGGGTTTCAAATTCTACATTGCAAATAACCTGTAATAAAACTAGCACCTGTCCAGTTTTATTGTCACATCAGAGAATATCCATAATTACCTTTAAAAAAATACCCAAACATTTCTCCTCCTAAACTGCATGTATCAGTCAATCCAAACAACATATTGTAACACAACTGCAGAAGCAATTTTCAAATATGAGAATCCAGCAGTGATCTACTAAATTACACATTAAAGAGATTTAGAAAAATGTAAAACACTACTACTCTTATTACTATTCTCTCTGGTGGTGGTACTGGGATTGAACCCAGAGGAGAGCTCTACCATTAAGCTATATCCCCAGCACCTTTTATACTTGTGATCTGCTTCAGTCTCCTGAGTTGCTGGATTTACAGGCATGGGGGGAGGAGGGGGAGAAGAAAGAAGAAGGAGGAAGAAGGAGGAGGAAGAAGAGGGGGGAGGAGGGGGAGAGGAGGGGGGGAGGAGGGGGAGAGGGGGGGAGAGGAGAAAGAAAACTTAAATTGAGGCAGAAGATTAAGTTCTAGTACTAGCTCTTTGGAGAGACCTTAGTTAATCTGTTTAATCCCTCTGAACACGTAAGGGATACCTTAAATTATTACTGCAGAGATAAGACAAAAGTGACAAGGAAAACTGATATACATCTGTATCTATGTTACAGAACAAAAAATAAATCAATTGTGTTATCAACTAGTGATTTTAGAAAAGCAAAAGTTCTTCCTATATTCTTTCAAGTTTTCTGCAAATTTGAAATTATTTCAAATTAAAATAAAAATACTTCTATTTTCTAAAAATATAAAAAAGTGACAGGAGGAAGATAACTCCTGGTTTAGGGCTGTAGCTCAGTGGTAAAGCACTTGCCTTGCATGTGTGAGGCACTGGGTTCGATCCTCAGCACCACATAAAAATAAATAAATAAAATAAAGGTATTGTATACATGTACTATAACAACAACAAAGAAAGCTAATT